GCACCGATAACCATTGCCGTATAAAGTATATTTCCTCCTGTTTCGAGAGATACAAGTTTTTTTTTTATATACCGCGATGTGGACGGACGAATCTTCTCCTTCGAAAGTTCCGGATCGAATCGGGAACGATTCGATATTACAAAAGTTTCGAATTCTTTTCTTTTGTGCCGCTCGAAATAAGCCAAGTGTGGGGTATATAGCTATGGTTATCGTCTCATCGTGTATAGACCGTTTTTCCTACGACACGACTCTTTTTCCTCGTGAGCGAGCGAGCGAGCTGTAATTATATGAACCTATCCATCATCGTGTGCTTCTGTCAACAAGTAAAAACCGATCGATACATTGGTAATGAGTATAATGGTAATGCATCTTTTCTTTCGTTACATTGTTAATTAAGTTGAGTGAGTAGCAAGAATCAATTCAATAAGATTGGCAATAACTTGAAATCTTAAATATTTAAAAATTAATTAACAAATTATACGGGATTAATAAGCTAATATAACAGTATCATTAACCGACACTAGAGATTTTGTAGTTGAATTTTCTTCACGTGTTTTCCAAAATCGATTTCAGAAAATGACAGATGGAGAGAGAGAGAACTAATTAGGTAACCGAAGCTGTCAACAGATAGATTTCCGTAAATCTGTCTTCTCGGATGATTTTCGAAAGGCTTTTATCTTCAACAACAGGATAATAAGCTGATGTATAACATCATTAACCGACACTAGAGATTTGTAGTTGAATTTTCTTCACGTGTTTTCCGAAATCGATTTAAGAAAATGACAGATGAGAGAGAGAACTAATTAGATAACCAAAGCTGTCAACAGATAGATTTCCGTAAATCTGTCTTCCCGGATGATTTTCGAAAGGGTTTTATCTTCAACAGGATTAATAAGTGATGTATAGCAACATCGTTAACCGACACTAGAGATTTTGTAGTTGAATTTTCTTCACGTGTTCCGAAATCGATTTAAAAATGACAGATGAGAGAGAGAGAGAACTAATTAGGCAACCGAAGCTGTCAACAGATAGATTTCCGTGAATGTTCTGTCCTCTCGGACGATTTTCAAGAGACTTGTCCCCAACAATGGAGTGTCGCGCAAGTAGGACTGCTTACTTCGAAAGAGTAAAGTAATCGCGCTGACCAAAGTTAAACAAGGTTATCGGCCCAACTAGTTCATAACGCTACTGTGAGAGATCGAGGGCAAAGACCTCGAAAAAGTCTCGTCATCGAGCTTTGCCTTCGAGCCCGCGCGCGCAGGGCAGGTGGTGCTAGACGAGGAAACAGCTGTCCACAAAGCTTGTCCCCTCTCCCTTCGAACGCGCTGTGAACTTCTGTCGCCTCGAGTCCCTTTCGTTTTCGTTTCGCCGTCATCGCCTGTCGTCGTCGTCGTCTGTCAAGGTGGTTGCATGATATTTCCACGTCGATACTTTATCTCGACTGTGCTCAACAACACGTTTTCAACATGCGTACATTTCATTGTGTTTTATACATAAGAAATTATATTATATGTATATACTCTCTTTCTCTCTCTCTCTCTTCTCCCATCCAGATTCATTCAGTCATGTCGAGAATAATGCAATTTGTAACTTTCAGAGTAACTCTGTCGTAATCTGCATATTTTCGCAGTTTTCGCATATTCGAAGGTGCGCGTTCTCTGTTTTCCTCATTCTTCTCTATCGCAATTCCAGACGAAGGGACCAATTCCTAGGTCCTAAATCTAGACTCAAAGATCGAAAAAAATGTGGCGAGAGAAACAAAGCTCTACCTAATTACACGTTGTATCGCTGTATACATATCGACACTTCGGTTGCGACGACCTTCCTTCATCGCGACCCTACGCTGCACCCACCGGTGGGTATCGCCGGAAGCGAGCGCCGGCCGGCCGGCTTTTGCCGGCGATGGCGGGAAAAGGGGACGAGAGAGAAAGAGAGACACGGAGAGTTAAGTGAGTCGCCGCGATGCGGGCGCGGACGGGGGAAAGAAACGAAAAAGCCCGCGCGCGTTGTGCCGCCGGCGGCGGCGGCATTCTAAATTTAGGAGGAAGTATTGATTTACAATTTGGACCCCTCCCAAAGTAAAAAATAAACCAAGCCGAACGTACTCTACTTTGATAGAGTGCCTCTCCTCTGCGCGGCTCGTTTCGACGCACAGGCCGTCGAAGAGAAAGATAGAGAGAGAGAGAGAGAGGGAACCGACCGAAGGGAAGAAAGAGGGTGGAAGCGCGCGCGGGAGGGGCAGAGGAAGGGAGTAATAAAGAGAAGGAAAGAGGGAGGCCGACGAGTCGAGGAGGGGGTGGTGGAGGGACGGAAGAGAGAAAAGAGTGTGGCGAAATGGCGTAGTTCCACTCCGGGTAAGAAACAAAGAACAGAAAATTGATCGTTTGTTAAGTTTTATGTTCCTACGCCGGCGAGAGAAAGAAGACACTCGTCCGTTTGTGTCTTCTCCCAAGTCTTCCTTCTTCTTTCACTCCCCTCTTCACCCTCCTTGTGTCTTCGGGTATAAATCCGCCGACGTTCCTTTTCTCTCTGTCTCTCTCTCGTCGCGACGTACAATAAGACCAATCGAGGAAATTCTACGCGACGCGCTATGGGAAAAGAACCAGGGGGCATGCATGCAGAAAAACGCGAAAGAGAGGGAACGAGAGAGAGAGACACGTGTATGCGAAAAAGAGGAAGAGTCCGTGGACGGATTACATTCGTCGTCTGCTACAGATCGTCCAGCTTTTTTGACTGGGAATAGAATCCAATTATCAGGAGTCGGAATCGTCTCCATCACGAATGAGGGAGAGAAAGAGGAGAGAATTCCCTTAGTACTATTATACGGTTTTTCAGGTTTCCGCGTATACACGTGGGGATACAAACGTTATTTTACTTTGACGACCACCTCATCATCTATAATTAGCGAACGACGACAATACGAGAATGATGATGATGATGATGATGACAGTGAGAGAGGAGCGTCTCGACGGCGTCTGAAGAGACGCGGATTGTTTGGACTTCGGTGCAGCTGACCGTTAAACAAAGTGTAACTGATGCAAGTCATCGAGATTTCCCAAGCGTAACCTGGATAACTGATTCTAAGAGAACGCGTGGCTAATTCATGCACTCGATCAATGGAGCGTGAATCGTTCTGTTAGAAACAAATGGGATATAATTACGCAATAGAGAGCTGTTATGTATTACATTTACTCTGAATTAATCGAGACTAATCTAGTGGGTTATTTGAAATAAAGATATATTTTTTTTTTAATTCTCAATATGAATTTATTAATTAGATCAACGCGATATATTAGAATTTGTCATAGATCCTCCTTATAATGTTTTAAACATAAAAATTACTAATTGCAAGGTACCCAAACAACATGTGTCTAAAAACGGGACATGAGCCGTCTTAAAGATATATTTTAATATGACGTCTAAAATATATCTTAATGACGTCCTTTAAGACGTCTCGTGTTTCGATTTTAAACGTTTTTTGTTGTCTGGGTAGATTGTATCGACGTGATTATGTTGATTTAAAATTAAGATTCCGATTGTGATTTTTTTCACCCGTCGTCTCTTCCCATCGAATGATGGATGAAAGGAACCATAATGTTGCGGGGAGCTAATATATCAAAGACTACATGGAAAAAAGGCGCAATTTATTAGTAGATAAACCAGGAGGAGCTATAGAATTCAGGGGAGGAAAATGTCATTTTTCGAAATTGCAGTCTTTTGAAAGGAAGATCCGATATGTAGAGCACACAGATATTATATATATATTTGTCGAGGGAACCGGGCAGTACGAAAACAGTCTTTGATAATTTCGGAAAGTGCTATTTTTCTCTCGGGAAAGCTTTTGACGGGCGACTTGCCGTAACATCCTATATTACGTACCCGTGAATGAAAACGTTATTCCTTGCTATATTCGAGATGGAGTTTCCGAAGTAGAGAAATTGTGTGGGGATTTCGGAATGCCAATGTGTCGGAGCAATGTGGTTGCAATTTAATTTCTCCAGCGTTGCCGAAAACTGAATTAGACGTTTCGTCACGTTAACCGAGTTTTGACAAGAGAACCAAGTCACAAGGAACGAAGTTCCGATTAGCGACGACGAAGTTGGTTGGTTTTGCTCGCGCAAGTATATCGCGGTTTCCGCGCAGCTTTTATATATCTTTATATTATATATATATATATATATATATATATATATATATATCGACTCGATTATTTTAATTGAAAATTGACAAGATAACTCTCGCGATGTAGCGAGGGACTGAGCTCGTTTCGAGCCGGATTCGAGATGAAATATCGAGGAAAATGGCAATTTTATTATATATTTCCCGTAAATCGAATTGTGAAATTCCACTTATCGAGTTTCAGTCATAAATCCAATTTCATGTTACAGCGAAATTCCGGAAATCGAGTTTCCGCGTATTCTGAATCATTCGCGACTAATTTCTCTATTTTCGCGGTAGAAACTTCTTATATCGTTGCGAGAGATTTTCATATCAAACGCACTTCTGTGCCACAAGCTTTTCAATCGACTCGTATTATCGTCGCCGCGGATTACTCAACCGCGCATCGATACATCCATTCGTGCTTATGTCACAAACGAGCGGACGAGATCGAAATAGAGTCGTTCATTATTCCTTAATAAGAAAGAAAAAAAAACAGTTCTTAATAGACGATAAAATGATATTTCGAATAAATAATCCGAGGAATGGCGAATTTAATTTCTCGCTCTACGCGGACACGTAAGAAGATTTATAGTCTTCGATCCCGAAGTCAACAAAGTTTATTTTTAAAGATAGCGGGACACAATGTTAATTAAAAATAGAATTTATCGCCCGTATCATCGAAATCGGATCTCTCACACGCCGTTCTCGATTTCTGCTTGCCGAATCAGCTTGCGAACGACAACAATTCCATAAGCGTGAAATAAACATGTGTGGCAAGATACGGGAAGCGCGTCATCGTTGACATCACGATCGCGAGACGCTTCGCTCTATTTACCTTGTGCGCCCGCAGCGTCTTGCCCTCGCAGGCGAGCGTGACGTCGCAGTAGGCCTGTCGCTCGAGCAGCTGTGAGAACATGGTCTGCAGATTGCTGTGATGGTACTTCCATCTCAGGCAGTACTGTTGCGGGAACATGGTGGTGGCGGTGAATGACGATGAGGATGACGATGACGATGACGATGACGAGCTGGTCGTCGCAGCGGGCGCGGGTGCTGAACAACCTCGTTGTTGAAGCATGCGCGGGCCTGGCACCGCCGTGCTGCTGTTGCAAACTCCCCCTCGACCGAGCCGGCCACCGTTGCGTTTCGCTTCCGGGGTTCACCGTACTCACGTCGCCCGCCCTCTTCGTTTCTCCCCGCCAATGTCTGCAACATCGGAAGAACCTGTGTCGAAGGAGGAGTCGAGAGGGTGCACCGATATCGGGTGAGTCACACCTGGGGCACCGCATTGTACGAAAAATTTCAAGAGCCCGGATCAAAGAGGGAAAGAGACTTCGAGGAGACGCTGCGCGATGTCGCGGACGGTGACCCACCCGATATCGTCGTCCCGGATTCTTTTCACCCGATTTCCAAGGGAAATTTATTAAATTAACGAAAATTTCTTAATCAGAGATTAATATATGTCACGCCGTTTATAACAGCGAGGAAAAGTTTTTTTTTTTTTCGCATAAAACTTATTCTCAAGAATCCTAAAGTATATCGGAAAAAAATTAATTAAATTAATTAGCAAGTTATTAATTAAATATTTAAAAAAAGTAAATGCGATGTAAAAAAATTATCAAGTGAAATATTTGAGATAAATATGCTATATATATATATGAGGTTTAACAGATTAATCACTGATTCACAGAAATAAAATATACTTAAAAACGTATCACTTTATCGTTGTTCATATTCTAACACTGAACACGTTACAGCAACAACTTTGTATTCATTTAACGTATAAAATGCAAATCAAAATAAAAGTAGCTCCGACAAATTATATAAAAATTTTATTTACAAAGAATTTTTTTTATTTAAAATTCAAATAATAAAATAAATGCGTTTTAACAAAATTTTGGAACGGACTTTAGAAATATTTTTATCGTAAGACTTTTAATTAAAAAGAAAGAAATAAACGAACGGTCCTCCAATTAATGTAATTAATACTAATTTTTATTTTACTTCGGCAAATGCTTTATATAAATATATACATGTCTTAGACATTTTCGATCGCTCATTTTTCCCACTTACTAAGTAAGTCTCCGAGTTCCTGACTTGGGATTAGAGCGCGAGCCAGCTTCGATCTGACTTTCTTTCGCAACACCCGCGCTAGTTTCCGAGGATGAAAGTCCTTATCCTCCGATTCTCCTCACTATCGGTTCACCTTCCTGAAACACAAATAGCAAGAAACGTTTTATTAACGCCATTACGTCGAATGTCGATTAACACGCGACTAATTGTAAGATATTGACGCTCGTTACAACAAATAATTCATTGTGTTCGGACAACAAAGGCAATTAGTGGTGAATGTTAAATCGACGAGAGCACGCTTAATCGAATAAATTCGTTCATTCCGAGCCACGTGATGAAAACATTCGCTAAAACTGTTACATTAAAATCGGGGCACTAAAACCGCTAAGATAAAATTCATAATTTAAAAAACATTTAATTTTCGTATGGGAGCAATACATTTTCTTCTCTTTGAAAATATTGTCATATTTCAATATATGTATATATAATCTCCCTGATCTTCAACGTAGCTAATAATGTTCCAATGTATTTATCTCATTTCAAATCCTCGAAATATCTGTTTAGTGTCGTTATAGCTATTTACTATCAGCTCATTGATCGTAAAAAAAAATCGTTGCCACAGAGAAATTTTTTCAACTTTGAAAACATGAAAGGAGCCAAATCAAGCGCGTAAAGCGGATGAGACGGCAAATCGTCCTTTAATTGGGCGATTTTGTTCATAAAAACGACACTTATATAAACGCGGTATTATATCCCGATCAAAAATGTTTTTGTTTCTTTGCTAAAGCTGCGTTAGAGAGACTCCATTTTCATCAATTTTCTTATTTAAATTATTCATTTATTTATTATTTATTGTCAGTTATTATTTTACTGTGTGAGAACACATACATAAAATTATTACTAGAACTTCGTTTGTACATATATTGAAATTACTCATAAATATCGGAAAGTAATCACCTTGAAAAAATTACCTCTGTTTTATCGCTCGTATACAGTATACATAAACGGTTAGAAATTCAGGTTGCAAATTACCTTGCGGGTTAAGCGAACAATTACCGGATCCGGGAAAAGAGGTATAAGAAATTCAAGAGCGTTTTATCGAGGGATGAGCGACGCAATCCTTTCTACGGTGTCAACGTATCTCGATTACGAGGATAACGGCGCAACGCGCCGGATAACGATTCCCGGCAATTACTGTTAAATCGATTTCTATCCGCGCGCGTCGATCCAGCTGTATACATTTACACGCGTTATGTTCTATACTCGGTATACGTTTTTACAGAAGCAGAGGGAGAGAGAGGTGAGAGATCCATGCTTTGCTATATATAATAATATGAACGGAGAAACTACCCAACAGGAGGGGAAGGAGTGGTGAGAAACCTTGACAAATAACACGAGTCGCTAAGCTTTCACTGCCGCGTTTTCTACAAGAATTTTCGATAGTTCCTTTTTCTTGTTCGTTCTCGGTTTGCTTGAACTTTCACGGGAGAGGGAGGATGAAAATAAATCTTTTATTCCTATCGGAATAAGAGGCGTCAAAATTGTGACTGCGACGCAAATTCAAAAATATTGACACGTTTGAAATCGAATTTCAAGTTAGAATAACGTAGTTCTTACTGTTCGCATAGCATTCGAAAAATTCCAGGAAAAATTCTTTTGCCTGTTTATGCCTTTTTGACGATGATTCACGGTTTTCTTTCAGGTAGAAAGATTTAAAGACTTTTTGGTCTTTGGTAAACCTCAAGGTCGCTAGTCTACTTTTGCCATATAGACGTAAAAAAGTTTCGAGAAGCAAAGCAGAGAAGTTAGATATATATACATAGGTTTCGAAATAACAATCATCTTGAGATCGTTTCGCAGAAAAGGATACTCAAAGACGAGTAACTTTTTTTTTAAATATTATTCACTTAATGATGGTAATGTAAATTTATGAGCTTATTGTATAAGCAATTTTAAAATTAAAATTAATAAATTCAAGCCAATATGGGTCGAGATATGTAAATAACATATAAAGATTTTCTAAAAATCCCCAGAGCTTTCCATCTCACAAATTTTTTTTCTTAAGAATTATAAATTAAAATGAAATCTCTCTTACAAATAAAAAGATTTTTATAACTAAAATCTATGAAAGACCACTAAAATTCGAAATTTCAGTAATACAGTCACATAGTATTGAAGCAATCAACTAATCAAGATCCTTCATTGTAGTATCGATAATAATAAAAAGTTTCGTATATGACCGGAATATTTCTTTGATAACTATATTTGCTAAAACATTTCATTCGTCAAAAATAATGAAATGATATTGAACATTTACATTATTAGAAACTGTCAAAAAAATACATATAAATGTATATCTATTATATTACTATAAAATACATATATATTCTATACTATTATAAAAAAATAGAAAACACTCTTCATACCCTAAAAATTGGACTATTTTCAAACCGAGTTGAACTCGGTGAAAAATCATTGTAAAAAATTAAAAAAGCATTTTGAAGCCTGAAGTTTCAACTTCAACGCGCTATCGTATGGTTTAAAAAAAATTTTATATTTTCTTTGTGCTGAAAATACAGGTTTAGTTTCAAAATCATGTAACTCGATCAAAAAAAAAAAAAAAAAAAATTGTAGTAACATTTAAAAAAAGTATTTTGTAGGTGAAATGTAGTTTATAAAACTTGAGCTAAATTTTTCAAGAAAAATTTTTCATACAATTATATATAGATAAAATGTCAAAAATACGTAATTTTAAGGAATGAAACAATATGTTTCTTTTTAAAGCGCAGAATAAAGAAGATCAAAAATTTTATAAATCACCGATAGCGTGTTAAAGTTGAAACTTTAAGTTTTAAAATACTTTTTTAATTTTTGTCTACGATGATTTTTCGCCGAGTTTCAGAATAGTGAAGATAAACCAATTTTTAGGATATAAAGTGTTTCTTATTTTCTTTTAGTAGTGTATATATATATAATTATTAATCGGTATTAATTATTATCATTGTAATGTCACTCAAATAAACATTTTTTATATAAATAAATAAATATATATGTATGTATATATTTATATATTTATTAATGAGAAAAAAGTTTTTGCACACACACACGTGTACATTACAATGATAATTAATAACGGCGTATAAATATCTGCAACTTTAATACAATACAATGTTCTATATGACGTTTTGCAATGCATAATCCTCATATAAACTTAAATCCACTTCTTGCCGTATCGATTAACATAAATATCGAGAATGACTCGATGCACGCGAATACCAGGTGAGATATCGACAGCTGCCTGTCGTCGTCGTCGACGCCATCGTAATTTGTCGCTTGAAATATTTAGCACGACCGGTGTAACAGATAACGAAGACCGATTAAGACCGATTAGAATCAAAACTTGATACTGTAAATCCGGTATTTTGTGTAATTGAGCGATTATCCTTGACACTTCCCCAGCGAAGTGCATTTACCTTGCAACGTTCTGTGTTTGTGCATCGCGCAAACACAAAAGTACCGTATTGAAATCTACACAACTTTAACGGTTTACAATGTCATTTTTAAATGCGCCTATTATTTCCGAGAGAGAAGCTTAAGGGAGGAGGAAGGAAGTATTCAATTAGCAAAGATGTATATAATCAACACAAAGAAGACACTTTAAGATTTAATTACGCAGAGAAATATCATTTCATAATTTTTAATGTGTAGGTATGCATTTTTCTTTGAATTGTATTTTCAAAGTATATTAACTCTCGACAAAGAATAGATTCTATTTTTATCCCCTATCTCGGAAAAAGTGGAAACAATTATTGGAAAAAAATCAACGCAGTTCCTTTCCAACGTTCATCTCGAAAAAAAAAAAGAAAACAAACTTGCGTGGTCACTTCACGTTTATCTTGTCATTCGTGTAATTTTTCTACAATGTTTTTGAAATGTGTTCTCTCAAAAGGACGAAAAGAAGGGAGAAGAAAAAGAACCAAACGCGCAGGAGATGTACTCCGAAAATTAATTCCGCGGCGAAAAAAATGCGACCGCTTTACATTTACATCTCGCGGCATACAATTGGTAATTCCAATTTGTTTGCCCGGCGAAAACAGCGGCGACGTCGATCAACACACTGACGGAGAATTGCCAGAATGTTAATTCGTGGCTCTGAAATGAGAGCGGCCGACGATGCATTATCGAGGGACGAGAGCTCGACGCGATAATTCGTCGATTATAGTCGGCCGCGCCGTTTGTTCGTCACCGGTAAAACGAGAATGCGAATGTACGCTCGTAAAAAGGGGAAGACGGACGACTTTAAAGAAAGAGAGCAAAGTGTGTGCGCTAGGTATCGTAAAAGTGTAAGTGCTACACACGTAGGAGAATATATATATATGTATGTATATATACACGTTCTGCGACGTCGTGCTCGGAATTAAGATCTCGACTCCGGTTTTCAAATAACTCTTTTATACGGTACATTGTCTGCATAAGAGCAAATGGAACCTGATGCATGAGTCGACCGAATAATTCCCGGCGATGCATAATATCTCATGTACTTTCTCTCGATAATAATAATAATAATAATTACAATATACGAGAAAATATACTTGTTAGGAGTCTGAAAATATGAGCCTCGTATAGATCGTGGGAAAGCAGCGTAGCGATATTATTTTGTTAAATTAATCACAGTTTTTAAAACTTTTATCCCGAAAAAATATTAAATGAGAATTATAATAATGTTATATTATATTTGTATTATACTAAAGTATTTAATAATTTTCTCCTTTTAAAGAGGCTTTTAGGTTATTGAAATATCTAATAATATGTGCTATATATTACTGCTCTTATACACGTACACATTTCTAAAACATTGACTTAGCTTCTTATTTTATTCCATTTATCAGAGCACACTGATAAGAGAAAGTACACTGAATAGAAAGTTGGATTATCTCGCCAATTGTATAAAATTAATTGGAATCTATAGATAACACGACATTCAGCATTATAAATATTTGTTCAAAATGATATATAATTTTAAAACTGCGCGGCATATTGCGTTACAAAAATTTCGATCAATTTTCTCTGAATAAAACGTCAAAGTAAACTTATCAAAATTTCTATAAAAAAAAAAAAAAAGAGTATGAGAACTGAATGAACCACATTGCACCACTTTAAGGACGGTTTTCTACTTGACCAACCGGATGTCGGAGATTTTTGTCTAGAGATAATTTTATCTAGGGGTTGCGGAGAGATAAAGAGAGAGGGCAAGACTGAAAGCTCGCAAGGTATTAAAGTTGCGACGTAAATGCGAGAAAGAACGGGCCTTCTTTCGCTATCCTAGATTCCTCAATGCTTTCTATTGTGTTTACGGATCGCGTTTAGAGTACCTTTCGCCGCCGTTGAGAAAATGCTTCGTTTCTTCACGATAGCAGCATCCTCATTTTATGCGCGTCTCCTCCACAATTTCCCCTTTCCTCTCTCTCTCTTTCTCTCTGTCATGGGGATACAACCAATCTTGGTATGATGATAGCATCCGCGCTATAATTTCGTCATAGCGTACTTTTTCGCAAATTATAGCAGGTTCGAAATTAGAGATTGTCAATTTTTCCGTCACCAGTACTTTTGTCACTTCGTGATCTCCGCATTTTGATTGTCGAATGGTTAATAACTGCTTATTTTTCGTTTTTAGCTTCTCCGATATAAATAACCAGTTTCGACAAATAATCTGAATAATCAGATTTTAATTGTTTCCAATAACATTTCCAATGTTTTATAAAATTATATATACTCTCGATTCCATTATTACAATATTAATATTTAATTAATACCATAATTATCTTCATTAAAACAAAATTCTGTTTTAAAAAGTAGAATGTTGATAACGCCGCATTTGTATTTTATTACTTTATTAACAATTAAATGACTGTGTATTTACGTCAATAATCTAATAATTGCCCGTGTTCTAATAATTATATGTTGATTATCTACATATATATATATATATATATATATAATTTTTTTTTTTTAATTTTCTAATATTAATCGATAGTCGTGTAAGACTATTTTGAGAATGGCGGCTTGCAAATGACTGACCTTGTAACTCTTGTGGCGTCATCCACGACGAGCCAACACCCACCCTCTTTAGCTCGTAGGACAAATACAGGCTCTCTTTGCAAAGCGACCGCTTCTAATCGCCCACGTTTTTTGCACGATCGACCGATCCTTCGATCGCATTATCCGGGAGGTCTGTTACGCTCGTCGTGATGCATTAACATCACCGATGAACGGTCCTCGTCGTCCGCAAGGTACTGTTATAATTCGCGCAATAGACGCACCATATATATATATATATATATATATATATATATATATCTGCATAGAACTCGATCGTAAAAATAGCCGAACCATGGAAATATGATTGTTATTATTATGATTCTAACATGCGCTAAATAATCTGACGGATTGTATATCGCGCCGTTTCTCTTCAAATTTCTCATAGTCGACGAGATACTGAGAATGAATATTTTCTGTTTGTCAAGAAATATCCATCGTCTTTTATCAGTAATAACACATACGGATCTATACTTTTGGTACAATTTTATTGAAGTTTTATTTTAGGATTATTTCGATTTAGAAAATACGATCAGTTAAAAATTAAAATACAGTCAGAATTTTAAATATATTATCGTCCTTTCTTAACGATTTCGTTTTCATCGTTTTTTTTTTATTTAAACAAATGGCCATCTTAAGAATTATTACTATGTTCAACACAAAAAATTAACCAGACTAGAGAGAACGAGACTAGTCATTTTTTTATAATTTTTTTGGATATGCTGAATCTAGTTTCCAAATTATTCTATCACGTCACAATTTTGAGAAATTTTTAATTAAAGTTGCAAAACACGGTCCTAACAGCATACTTCATTTTGATTGCAATAAAACTTCTCTAATACGTAACATATTGTAGTTATAATATGACAAAGTTCACGAATAAATAAGCCCTTTTTGTAACTTTAATCATCAAATTTGCATGAATTTGGAAACCAGAATTCAGCATTCAAAAAACTATGTAAGAAACGATTAGTCACGTTCCGGTGTTCGAAAAAAAACATTTTTGTCGAACAGTGTTAATATGCGTATGCAAATAATTATTATCACTCATCCTCAACGATCTAATTTTTTTTCTAATCTCTTAATTAATGATTAATATGCTATATTGACGTTAATAAATGTGTTTTCCGTTATACCGGAATTCTTTCGTAAGGAATGTTTTTCATCACGACGGTCGCTTGGCGCAGCGTGATTCCGATAACGCGACGTAATAACGGGAATGCACCGAGGTAACTGTTGCATCGGAGAATGCGTATTTCGAAGCTCGATTCTTTTTCGCGGATCCGTTAAGCGTTCGTCTTCCGCCTAACGAGAGAGAGCGCGCCTACCGTTAAGAAGACGTAGTTATCCGGACCGCGTGCGATTCCCGATGAATGTTTGTACGTTGGGAATCTTCGCGTATACATAGGAATAACGAAGCTTCGCGGGATAACGGTTCCGCGGTCGCCAGTTGTTTCGCGAGAACGACTAGGATGCATCGCCGGTGTTGTGCAACGTCATCATAATCACCATCAACGTTGTCATTTTTCGGATATTTCCTGAGGCCGGGACTCTGATAACGAAAGCTTTTCAATCGCGACTGACTTTCCGGCTCGTGAATACTTTGTTGATAAAAATATCGCGGCGGTAAATTAAAAAGGGTATTTTTCTTAAGATGTAAATATGAAAAGAAAACGCTGATGTACGACCTTTACACGAAAGACTATAATTTAACCGAGTTGTGTTTGTTCAAATATGAGATAGATGAGAGATGACAAACAAATAGGAAACTTGTACGAAGAAAATATTTGTGTTATAATAGATATGAAAATATAACGTGACAGACAAGCCATGTAATTTTGTTTGCTATGTTAATAAAACAGATATATATATATATATATATATATATATATATTCCGAGATTAGCCTCTATTTACGTTCCGGTTTGATATTCACGAATGTTCTGGATCGCGCGACCAGTCCGGATTATAATCAAGCCAGTCGAATTCATTAAGAGTATTGCATTTCTTATAAAGACATTACCTCTTTTCATTATACATTAAATTTCATTTCAATGTAGAAATATCTCGAGCAAAATAATTTCCGATATTTTGTAATTCTATAATAACTTAATAAAAAGAGTCAAGAATATATATATATATGGAGAATAATTTTTATTTTAAGATCGTAATAAAACAAGGATGCTATTAATTTTTAAAATCGAGCACTAGCATAAGAATGTCCTGATATTTCTGTAAAATTCATAATAATTAATATCTTGGAAATATCTCTTGGTCTACATTTAGATCGTACGCAATAAGATGAACTGATTATGTTTTCTACTATAGATTATAAGTAGTACACACAAATTATGCTAACGCGAGATGTCTGTTTTGACAGGATGAATGTCGTGTCGCGAGATTAAGAAAAATATTACTTTTTAATTCCATGACAACTTTAAAAAAAATATCAAGTGTATAGATCAAGTTTAAGATCATTTAACAAAATAAGTCAAGAATATTATTATTTACAATCTAACAGAAGAATGTCTTGATTCACGTACGTATTTATAAAATAAGTAATCAATAATAATCGATATCTTAGAAATATCTCTTTGAATTCGAATCATAATAAAATGAACTGTGATTACGCTCTTTACGTATTTCATTAATATATATGTAACAAACACGGATGCTAATGTGAGATATCTGTTTTGACAAGATGAGCATGTCGCGAGATTAATAGACACGTTATCGGAATATCCACAATGAAAGACAAATTATGTGTATAATTCCGCACACTTCATAAATATTTAACGATGCTATGTATTAACGCGGAACATTTGCCCTATTACGTTCGCTCCGTATAGACGCGTTCCAAGAAATTAATAAAGACGAAGAGAAAACAAATCTCTATATATATATATATATATATATTTATATATATTTATATGTCTCGCGCTCGCTAATTTGCATTCGCGTCGCAATAAAGCAGCGCACTTAATGTGTTTTGCATTCTGCAAACGCCGCGGCGTCGCGCCACGCCGGCAACTGCTCAACGTCGATAAATGCCACAATGTCACCGCGTTCCCATGAAATGACAATCGTTTTTCTCCCGCCGCCGGTGCCGGTATGTTGTAGCGCTTCCGCGAAAACAACGACGGCGGCACGCGAGCGGAGAGAGGAAGCAAGGCGCGTATCGCGATTTATCATCGTCGTAGATTAAAAAAAAAAAAAAAAAAGACCGAGTATAAAATCGTAGCATTAATTGACAAAACATATATTATCGTTATTTGCATCATTGGCGAGAAAAAAAAAAAACTTGTTTTTCCGTGTACAATATACCGCGCGTGTCGTAATGCGAGCGCAATGTCGGAAAGGTGGACGATATGCTTTGAGATTAAAGTGCAAACTCGGAGAGGCAGAGAGAGAGAGAACATAAGCGTTCGCAGCATTTTTTACAAGGAGAGGCATAATTAAATTTTTTTCTTATTTTATTATTTTCAATTTTTTAATATTAAATATGCAAATAAATTTCAGTGCTTATTCAAAAGGAAATTACAAATGCTTAATTTTTTAATCGATTCCAAGAGAGACAAATGTCATCTCTTGTCCCTCTCTTTCTCTGGACATCCATGAGGCAAAGCGAAAGCTTTTCACGGATTCACAGCATTTAAACACGTGGATAAACTCCGATATACTCTTTCTTTATTTAAGGGATCTTTCGATCGTTCCCTCTTTCTCTCAGACATTTTCGTTCCTTCTTTTTCGCTCGCAGAGGGGGCGTATGACATTCTTTCTCGAGCACGTGACACGCGCGTTGCTCTATCTGTTCATTATCGAAAAATGCAGATGTATTTTTTTAGCAGATAGTAAATACATTAAATAAAAAAAAAACCATTCCGATATATATTTTTGAGATAGATAGACAGCATTTTTAAATATTTATTTTTAGGCGAAAACTAGCAATTTATGTAATCTCCTCGTCATATACTGATAATGCCTAGCGGCCAGAGACCTTGACGGAAACTTGATCACATTTATTAATCGTTTATTATTAGATACAGAATGAAAATTTGCATTATCGCGAGCATATTATACAAGTTGCACTCAGGGTTTGCTGGTATTTAAATAAAATTTATATAGGTGATCACATCCAGATGAAACTTTGGCATTATCTTATCTTTATGTATAGGTAATATAAATATGTATTATCTGCATCTTAGATTAAAAAAGTGTTATCTTCATTAAATTATCTAGAATAATATTCAGATGATTTAGTTTAGAATCATAGCACATAAAAATACTCAAGTAGTATTTTTTATTTTTAATTTAAGCGCAATAAAAGCGATAAAACCTTATATGGTAAATAAAAATATGAATATATCCCTTTTATAACTGTTCACATAAGCAATCTTAAAAATATTATCTAGTAATTCTCTAGATGAATCGCCATATAATTTTATCTTTTAATAAATTAATCTTCATCTTATCTAAGATGAATTTACATATTTTTATCTCATCTTCGTCTATCTAATTTTAAAATCATCTAAGCACAACACTGATTGTATCGTATCAAAATTTTTAGATAATTTTGACTACTTCGGCGATTTAAAAAAAAAAAAAAAAAAAAAAAAAAAATGAAAACGCGTTCGTAACGCGGACAACTAGAATATTCGGCTTTTATTTCGATTTGCTCTTAATCATATATATCAATTTGTATAATTTTCAATACACAGAACATGTTCATCACACGATTACAATACAAAATGTTTAAATAAATATCTTACATATATATATATATATATATGTCCACAATATATTTTTTGTATGAACTGCATAATTAGTAATTCCCTTTTATTTTTCGTTTAACCAATTTCGTTTTCGCTACAAATACTGCCATTCAATCAATGTTACCATTCCTGTGGTTTTTTCACTGCAAACGTTTATTAAAAACAGTTTGAATATAAAAGGTACACTTGTGATTGAAGACTAACGCGATATATCGTTTCGACCGATAAACATTTTACACACATAAACGTGGCAGCGACGATTCGATATAATCCATCCATTTTTAGTTTTTCGCTAATTCGAGAATTACACTTTTACACTAAACCATCGATATACGTGCCGTATCTTCGTCGCACA